GACAGGAAACACTTGTTATTAATGGTAGGCTTGTTAACTATATCCAGTAGTGAATGAAATGCAGCCATGTTTCCCGCTTAGGGGATATGTTAGATTTCTAAGCTGGGCGAGTTTCAAGTTTCTTGAATTCTCATATATTTGTGCTGCTTCTGCAATTAGTATGTTTAACTTTCAAAAGCCATCCCATCTGCTAAGGTCTCTCAAGATGTTCCTTTTGCACCTTTCTTTCAAGAATATGGAATTACTGATCCCTGAATAACGCAATATATAGGGAGCTCGCGAGGCCACTTCTCATGCAAGGGTACGTAGTAGTAGTTATGTGGTATATGTGATTGCGCTCTTGCATATGAAATGAGAATTATTTTGCATATTTGGCATCTTGACGAAAGAAAGTAACGATGTTGGCTTAAATCCGTTGCGTGATTGCCTCTTTAAGAGGTATTATTTCATGTTTAAAATTATGATATCAAAGTGGGTTTGATCTTGAAATTACACCTCTTGAAATAGAGAGATAATATATAGCTAGGGTTTATAAATTACCTGAATCCTCCTCGACTTCCTATTGACGTAGAATATTGATATAATCATAGAGCATTAATGTTGGTTCGATCAGGGAATCCTCTTCACAAAACCATAAAAAACGGCGCTCGTGCGGTTCATTTCTTTTAGTGGCTTCCAATGACGCTACAGTCAAGGTGATGGTGAGAATGGTGTGCGCCTGCAAAACAAATCCACCCTCGGGCCCCACCACATGCATAATTACATCTCGGCCCTAGACTCTTAAAAGATATATTTCCATCAGATGTAATGACATCAATGTTTTTACACAAATAGTCTTATGATTCTCGTTGCGATGAATTGAATCATTTGATACTTCACATCTGGGTGTTGAGATGCTGTTGGTTTTTCATCCAAAATTGGGTCTTCATAAAATCTCGGAGGGATGGCATTTTTTTGGAGGCGAATCTCGACAATTATGATGATCTTAATTGTTAAACAAAATCCGGAGGCTTTCCAATATATGGGTCAGCGGGTCACCCTCGAGTCACATTTTTTATCCGATTAGTTCCAAACGGATCACTAAAATTCCGACCATATTGAAATGATTTGTCCGTAACAATATGTTATCAAATTCAATTAAAAAAAGAAAACCCAGCCCTAATCTGTCTTGAATTTTCCGAATCAATCAACAAAGCAAGGTACGTAGAGTTTGACAGCTATAATCATAACTAAGAAAGCCATCATCACAAGTGAAATAAAGACTACATGACATTTAGGTTATAATTGGATTGACATGAGCAATAAATCTTAGAGGTGTGTGCTCGACTGGTAATAGCCATAGCATCATTTTAGGTCGGTCAGAATCTAGAGAATGGTTCGTGGCAGCAAAAACGATGGAGCATGAACGTACCAGACAGAAGCTGATGGTTTTATAGTCTGTTTGGTATCATCTTGAGTACCGCTGGCTGTCTTCTTATTAAGGTTTAGGATCATTTTTCAAAATAAAGCTTTTCTAACATTGCAACATTTGACAAGCCACTCGGATATCAGGCCGCACTGCATTTGGAAAAGGTTGATCTTCTTCGATTAATCGATTGTACAAATTACACGAGCAAGAACACAACTGCTACTTACATTCCCAACAGCAATTTCTATCTACAGTACTTGCACGGAATGGCCATCTACTGGTTTCATCAACACATAGATCTTGTAAATAAGAGAGCTGATCCACTAACCCCGCGCAGGACTAGCAGTCTGGAGTCCACATATGTTCGACAGACGAGCCTAGACAAATCAAACATCTCAGGCGGAACTTGCACGCGAAGTTGTTGAACTATACTGCTTGGTGGAACATCATTTTGATTAAGGTTGTCCCCGAGACTCATTGTCACCTCAATGTCAGCTGAAACAAGTTTGGCCGCAGGAAGGCTCGATGGAAACTCCTTATACGGGACAAGTTTCCCCCATTTTTTAGCTGATAATTTCTGGGCTAAAGAATCTTGATTGTTTGGTTGCCCAAAGGATAACTTCTCTGATGTCTTTTCCTCCTTAAGATACAACCGTCTCCCAGATGTCAACCGGAATAACGAGTTAACTTCCAATTTCCCAGTTATATCACTTTTTTCATTAGGCCAGTCTCGACCATTCATGACCGTGAAGCCAATGTCCGAAGTGAAGGAAATACTAGTATTTATTTTTGATGCTCTATTTATAGTTAGATAAACGTCACCAATCAGGACACGAGCTGACTTCAATAGGTAAACTGAAATTGTTGTGCATCGTGTTGTCATATCAGAAAGCATAAATCAACCAGAGTTTTCCTCAAACGCCCTTTTCCTTCAAGAATTTCTTTCCTTATTCTATATATATCAAATTTAATTCTAAATACAGAGAATCTAAAATTAAAAAAACAGCATAAGAGGGGGGGAAGCTTGCATTTACTTTAATATGCCTATCCACTGGGCTTATCTGCACATTCTCCAGCCTCAACTCTATATCAGAAAGTCCATGACTCTGCAAGTAGGTCACCTTAAGTAAGCAAAACAAACACCTCACACTGTAGTTGTGCACAACAAATGGCAACTATTTGTGCACAGATAATACAATAATACAATTAAGATATACATACTCCAATCAAGAGATCCCTCATCAATGTGTGTTATTTGCAACTGCCGAGAGACAGCAGGCAGCAGGTCGTCCAATGGTGTCATCTCCCACGCTCCTGACAGATTCCTCATCCAATGCAAGGTTGGCTTCCAAGGTAGGAAGCCAATCTGATTGTTGAAGCCAATGTTTCAAAGAAAAACTGTGTTATTTGCAACTGCCGAGAGACAGCAGGTCCTCCAACCGTGTCATCTCCCACCCTCCTGACAGATTCCTCATCCAATGCAAGATTGGCTTCCAAGGTAGGAAGCCAATCTGATTGTTGAAGCCAATGTCTCAAAGAAAAACTACCATGATACTGCCATAAAATAAAAAGGAAGAGATAAACTTTCACATCCCTAAACTCACAAATGGAAAAATTGAAACATGGGAAGAACTGCTTCCACACGCAACATGCAGAGAAATGAAGGCTTGTCCAATAAAAACAGAAAATCTCCAACATGGGTGTCCTAGAAAGACTAACCTACCTAGCATAAATAACTAAATGGCTTCACACAACGAAACATTTAATGCATACGCAATATCAAAACCTTACACAGAAACAGAACATGCCCCATGTGCCAGAGTAAACGAACCACGGCCACTAGAAGGTGAAGAAATATAACCATGAAATTGCATCGAATAAGAATGGTACATAAGTTTACGGCGAACCAGCTTCTTCAACACCTAAAAACACTTCAACAACACCAAAGTTACAGCAATATTCAAAACCTCAAATACCAAATAAAGAAAACTCCAAACAAAGCCCCAAACCTCTATTGCTCGCATTCCTCTACGTTTTGCTTGAGTACGGACAAGTTTCCTAAGCACAACTTCAATGTTATACCAAGGGCTGCAATTCCACATGATACTCATCACCTCCAATAATCACACAATATCACAAAATCGAATAAGAAAAGAAAGCTAGCCTATTAGAATCCTTCACTATTGCTTCAAAAACCACCTCATCCGCCTAAAAAAACCCCAATTCAGTTATCCATGCCAGAATTAGCAGTGCTAAGAACAATCACTTTTGGACATTAAGCACTATTCTTAGTGTTAATAACCGAAAATCACAACGAAATTAACAATATTTAACAGATAAAGATTAAAAAAAAAAAATTGATATAGAGTTTTCTGGCTTACCCGGCCACCAAGGCCAATACTGACACGATCAAGCACCTTAAAATCAGACATCTTGAACCTCATAACATCTCATCCTCCTCCTCCTCAATCACACATCTCCTTGCGATTCCAACGGAGCCACGGCCTTACTCGGCGACGAACACCCCAGCACCGTCCCTACTTCTCTCCTAGAACAACTGCTTCTCGCACAGATGATAATACCATTACTACGTCGTTTAATCAGTTTCATCGTCGACAAATTATCAGAAAGAGAACAGAACCCGACTCCATATATTGCCGCCGTCGCCGCCGTCAATCGATCAATCCGTTACAATTCTAAGAATATTTTTTGATTCAGAGAGGAGTTAGTTAGCAGAAGGAAGGAGAGGAAAGCGTGAAGAAATAGAGAAGAGAGTGAGAGATGCGTGAAGGAATCCGGAGCCCTGGGCTTGGCTCGTGTCAGCTTCTGTTTTTACGAATATCTCCTATATTTCACCTCCTGTTATTTTTTCAGTGTTTTGCGTACGGTGCACGCTCCTTTCTCCGCCACGTCACTTTTCGTTGTTTCCCACGTTTTTGTTTTGGAGCTAAGTACTAAGAAGATAATTATTAAGTAATATTTTAAAATGCGTGGGGAAAGCACTGTAGCTTCCCCACGCCTTTTAATTATACTTATATATAATAATAATAATTATTATTATTATATGTAATAATATTTATTATATTATTATATTATTATTATTATTTTCGTTTTCATTTTTTTCTGTTTTTATTTATTTATTTTTTATGTTTTTTATGCCTTTATAGGTTTTTTTTTGTTTTTTTTTGTGTTTTTTTCTTTTAATAAATTTTTTTGTTTAATTTAGTTTGTTAATGGTAAAAAAAAAAATTTATTTAGTTGTCATATTTTCATGACACGGATCTCGAGTTTCACAAGTTAACTTGGTTTAACGAGTTAACCAGAAATTTTTTTTTTTTGCTTTTTTTTCTTTTTAATTATTTTTTTTTGCTTAGTTTAGTTTGTTAATGTTAAATTTCTTTCTATTTAATTATCAAACTTTCATGACACGTATTCCGAGATTAACAAGTTAACCCAGTTAGTTATGGGTTAACCCGTTAATTTTTTTTCTATTTAGTTATTAATTTTTTATGACTCGAATCTAAGGTTTGACGAGATAACATGGTTTGAACGGTTAACCCAGTTAATTCAGATATTTTTTCTTCATTAGTTTTTTTCTTCTTGTTGGTTTTCTTATTAATCTCTTTAATTATCACACTTTTATGACACGACTTTACAATCAGATTCACATCTAAGGCTCTTGGGTTCGGTATTGCAATCAGACTCACTTAAACTTGAGTCGTGTAAATTTAATATTATTATAAATATTATAAATATTATTCTTGAGTCAAGCGTTGTAACTAGACCAAAGGATCTTGGATATATCTTTGCAGAAAGACATAACATTCTTAGATCTTAGCTCTTTTTTATATTTTTTATGCAAGAAAAAAAATTAACTCGTGGTGTATATAGTGCAGTCCATAGTGAAAAAGCTGATGCTTTTAGTTTTTTTTTTATCTTTTTATTTTTTTTGTAATTATTCTTTTAATTTAGTTTCTTAATATTAAATTTTTTCTGTTTAATTATTGACTTTCATGACACGGATCCCATGTTTGACAGGTTAACCTGGTTGATTCAAATTTTTTTTTTCTTATTAATTTTGTTCTTCCGATTTCATCTTTTAATATTGTATATTGTCCATAATGAAAAGGCTGATGCCTTTAATTTTTGTTTTTGCTTTTGCTTTTTTCTTTTCTTTTTATGTCTTTCACTATGTATTACATAGTACAGTCCATGGTCAAAAGATTGATGTCTTCTTTTTAATTAACTTTTTTTTATTTAGTTTGTTGATATTAAATTTTTTTCTATTTAGTTATCAGACTTTCATGACATAGATCTTAGGTTTGACAATTTAACCCAATTAATTCAGATTTTTTTCAATGGTTTTTTGCTTCATATTGGTCTTTTTCCTTTGTTTTTTTTTTAAATAATCTATTTAAATATCACATTTTTATTAAACAACC